AATTGAGAAACAATTGACCACTAATTTTATCAATTGGTATAATACACACAAAAAGCCAATTATGATCTCAGAGTACGGCGCCGACACTTTGGCCGGTTTGCATCAGGTATACTTAATAAATTATAAAGTTACCAAATGATTTGTGTTAAGAATATACGAATGATTTTTGTCTACCATTAGGACCCAGCATATGTATTCTCGGAAGACTATGAATCCGAGTTTCTAATGGATTACCACAAAGCGTTTGACACCTTAAGAGCTCAGGGATTCTTTGTTGGCGAACACATCTGGAATTTCGCTGATTTCATGACCGATCAAAGTATTATTAAATCACTTTTTATATGAGTTATTAATATTGACACAAATATCTCTAAACACAGCAATCAGTCGTGTGATCGGTAACAGGAAAGGCATATTCACTCGGGAACGACAGCCCAAAGCGGGTGCGAGAATCCTTCGGTGCAGGTATTGGAATTTAGCACCACTTAAACCACAACAACATTCCGGTCTTTCCTACTGTCCTGTTGTCTAATGTATTCACATAAGTGTTAATTGTATTCAATAATAAACAGTTTGATAATATGAATTCATTCAGTATTTTAATTATTTAATTCTTTGAAACTCATTTTATGAATCAAATTTTCCAGTAATTTATTACTAGGATATGTTAATAAAATAATAAAATATATTACTTTGCACTGCAACGATCTTTAAAAAATTCCCTACTCAATAAAATAGTCCAGGACAAATATTGAATTGATAGTAACCTTTGCAATATCATTAAATGTATTGTATCAATAAATTCTGTATACCAGTATATTATATCGGGTAAACCAACTACTTTAAATTTGAATTAAAATATTTACAGATATTTTATATTAACAAAAATTACACTAAAATATTGGAAATTTATTAATATTTTATGTACGATTCACAAGATATTAATAAATTGCCTACCCTGGTCATAAGTTTAGTTTTACTGCATGCATATAATATTTAAATAATAGAGAAACAAGTATTCATTAATGATAATACGATTTATTTATTTTATTTATTATACAATTGTATCGTAATTTCAATACACAAATAAATATAATTATTTTTTCAATTATTCCTGTTTTTTCCAAACAATTTTGTCGTTTCTACGATCTTTAAAAAAATTTCCTACTCAATAAAATAGTCCAGGACAAATATTGAATTGATGACCTTTGCAATATCATTAAATGTATTGTATTAATAAATTCTGTATACCGATATATTATATCGGGTGTTCCAAGGTAAACTAAATTATGACCAGGGTAGGAAATTTTTTAATATCTTGTGAATCGTACATAAAATATTAATAAATTTCCAATATTTTGGTGTAGTTTTTGTTAATATAAGATATTTGTAAA